TCCAAAAATCCAAAAAACTGGGCCTATAAAAAGGGGATCAGCTTAAAAATCAAAATCTGAACAATTAATTATCTTTTTTTGGGAAAGGCCTTCCCTTTGCCATAGCTTTGAGGGAATGCAAAATGAAGGGGGTTTTAAAAAGGGCAGGAATTTTTCCTTTTCAAATTTTGGGGGCAGGTGTCTGATCCACACAAGGAGTTTTCAGTTACAAGTGGATTTTAATTTTAAAACCTTACTTTTTAGCTAAGTCTTACCTGCAATTTAAAAAAACCCCCTTTAAAGGGGTTTAAAAAAGAAACTTTTTACCCCACAGCCACCGGCCCCCTTTTCCAAAACTGAGGACAAATAAATATTATGGAGGGGGGAAAATTAAAAACCCCCAATCTACACCTGAAATTTAAAGGGCACAGAAACCAGAAGAAATCTTCTCAAAAAAGGGAGTTATCGCTAAAATAAAAGATTGAGAACTCCCTGGTTTTCTTAAAAATTGGGGAATAGGAGTAGGTGGGCAAGGGATCACCCCATAAATGACAAGGAAACCTTTCCCAAAAAAATGGTTCATAAATCCCCCAAATTTTAGAAACAGAAATTGGGTTCTTTTTACCTTCAAAAATTTCATTATTTTCAATACAAGAAAATGAGGTTCAGACCCTTTAAGTTGGGAAGAAACCCGTTTGGGGTTTGGGGCCCCATCCCCCGGGGGTTTTGGGGTTGCCTCCCTTTTTTTAAGGGAAAAAACAAAAGATATAAGATGTCCAAAATTTTTCTTGGGAATAATTTCATGTAGGACGAGAAAAAGGGGCTATGACCCTTTTTGTTCATCAAAATTTTACTTTTTTGGGAGTATTTTTACTGGGCTAGATAAACCCGATATATTACCAGAAAATGAACTTGGAATTTAAAAAGTTTAGGGTGTAGAAATTCCCCCTTTTTTAAAAAAAAGAAAACTTTTTTTGGGTTTTAAAAAATAATCATCAGCTAGACGGGGGGAGCTTCTTCCCAAAATTTCTACCTGTTTTTTTATTTTAGGTTTAAGATTTTTAAAATCTGAGTGAATACAACGTTTAAAACCCCTTCAACTAACATGAAACTGTCTGAGCTTTTCCAAAGATTTTTTTTTATTTTCTTAGATAGACACCACCGATTTTAAAAAGTTTTTTTTTTCTTCCCTTTCAAAATTTAACATGGGGTTTTACCAAATTTCTTTCTTAAGGGAATTTTTGAAATTTTTTTCCTGTAAGGCCTTTCTGGTACTAAACTCATAACCTTTCAGAAATTAATTCTTTTACATTATCATTTAATTAGAGCTTTGTTCGACAGTAAGTTGTTGTGTAATAGATTTCAGCGAGCTTTTTACCAGTTAAGACGCTCTAGTGAAAGTAATGTCCAGTGCTCTCTTGGGCATTTTTAAATTTTTCAGCAACCTTTTCAAAAATGAAGAAAAAATACTTATCAACTTTCTTTTTCTTGGGGAAAGGTGGAACAAAAACCTAAATAATTTTTAGTGACATCAAATTTTGAATTTATTTCTATGTTCAAAAAATGATTGCTCTCCTTTGATTTCTAATTCTCTCATTCTTAACTGAAATTTTCTCTCTCTTCTCTTTTTTTTTCTAATTTTCTCTCTTCCCTTTTCTTTTTCAAAACTGCCTTTCCCTTTCTTTTTTTTCCCTTTCTTTTTTCTAACAAGTCTTTCTTCCCTTTCTTTTTTATAACCTGTCTTTCTTCCCTTTTCTTTTTCTTAAATTGCATTTTTTTAGTTCAAATTTAAAATTGAAGTTCAAGCTCTTTATTCTTAATTTCTGGGGTTTGTTTCAACAATCAGAGAAAGTGCATCTTTGTCCAAAAAATATCTTCATTCCACAAAAATAATGAATCAGAAGATTTTTTTAATTTTCTTGTTTACGCATTGAAGATTTTAAATTTCCTGATAAATTATACTTTTTTTTGCAAGAATCGAGGGCAAAATCAGTTTTCTTAGCCAAAATCTAATACCTCCTGGGAAGGTTTCAGCTACAAAACTTTTCTAAATTTAAAAAACATTGACTGCTTGCTGCTGGTTTTTAAACTCAGAAAAAGTGAATGTGTTTCAAAAATTTCAAAAACTGAAAGGTAAACAACTTAAATAGAAAAAAACTATGATATCAACTCAGATGAGTAAATACCCGGTAAATAATAAAATGTTAAAAGTAAACGGTAATAATTTCCAATAATGTAGCCAAAAAAAGAAAATTATTCAAAATCCCGGACGAGCCCCCAATTTCTGATTACGAGCCAGGGCGTAACGAGAAAGAAAAGGGGGCCCAGCAACAAACTTTTAACCAAAACAAAATTTATTTAACAAAAAAATTATTAAAGAAAAATAAAATAACAAATTAATCTTTTACAAAATACCTGAAGTCCAAATAAAAATTTACAAATGTCTAGTTAACTGATCCTGGAAAGATCCTTTTTCAAAATAGCACAGTTAAAATTCCAAGTTAAATCCAAGAACACTTTAGAATAAATTCCCACAATAAAATCCACAAGAATAATTAATAATCCAAGCTCAATAAATCACTTAATTTCCAAGTTGAATAATTACTTTCCCAATCATATTTATGACTTTTTAAAAGATCACTTGATGCACTAAAAAAGGTAACTGATGACTTAAAGATAAGATTAATGAAAAAATGTCTCCTTATTTATATATTAACTAAGAAGTTTTCCAGAAAGGTCTATTATTTGTTCTCAAGTAATCATAATCTTAGCAACTTCAACAATAAAAGCATCATTCCAGAAGTTTCTATGCTAAAATAAGTAATGCATGAGTTTTTCTACACAAGGTAAGAACCTTCTAGTACATAACATGTGTTTATGTCCTAAAAATAGAACAATGATAATATTGGGAAATACCACTGGTTCAGATATAAATTATTTACATGTTAATATGTTGCCATTACATAACACTACCAAGTTTGTTCAAATAAAAGCCCTGGGGTCAAAATTGGTCCCGCCCCAGGGGGTCATTGATTTTCCCTATATGCATATAGTAAAAACTTAAAAAATCTTCTTTTAAAGAACCCAAAGAGCTAGAGCAAAGATATTTAGCATGAAACATCTTCTAATGAGTGTCTACCAAGTTTGTTCAAATAAAAGCCCTGAGGTCAAAATTGGCCCTTCCCTAGGGGGTCATAGATTTTCCCTGTATGCATATAGTAAAAACTTAATAAATCTTCTTTTAAAGAACCCAAAGAGCTAGAGCTAAGATATTATGACATGAAATATCTTCTAGTGAGTGTCTATCAAGTTTGTTCAAAAAAAAGCCCTGGGTTCAAAAAATGGCCCCGCCCCGGGGGGTCATTGATTTTCCCTATATGCATATAGTAAAAAAACCTTAAAAAATACTTCTTTTAAAGAACCGTAAGAGCTAGAGCTTAGATATTTGGCATTGAAACATCTTCTAGTGAATGTCTACCAAGTTTGTTCAAATAAAAGCCCTGGGGTCAAAATTGGTCCCGCCCCAGGGGGTCATTGATTTTTCCCTATATGCATATAGTAAAAAAACTTAAAAAATCTTCTTTTTAAAGAACCCAAAAAGAGCTAGAGCTAAGATATTTGACATGAAATATCTCTCTAGTGAGTGTCTACCAAGTTTGTTCAAATAAAAGCCCTGGGGTCAAAATTGGCCCCGCCCCGGCGGGGTCATTGATTTTCCCTATATGCATAAAGTAAAAACTTTAAAAATCTTCTTTTAAAGAACCGTAAGAGCTAGAGCTTAGATATTTGGCATGAAACATCTTCTAGTGAATGTCTACCAAGTTTTGTTCAAATAAAAAAGCCCTGGGGTCAAAAATTGGCCCCGTCCCAGGGGTCATAGATTTTCCCTAATATGCCTATAGTAAAAAACTTGAAAAATCTTCTTTTAAAGAACCCAAAAGAGCTAGAGCTAAGATATTTAGCATCATGAAACATCTTCTAATGAGTGTCTACCAAGTTTGTTCAAATAAAAGCCCTGGGGTCAAAATTGGCCCTGCCCCAGGGGGTCATTGATTTTCCCTATATGCATATAGTCAAAAACTTAAAAAATCTTCTTTTAAAGAACTCAAAGAGCTAGAGCTAAGATATTTAGCATGAAACATGTTCTAATAGGTGTCTACCAAGTTTGTTCAAATAAAAGCCCTGGGGTCAAACTGGCCCTGCCCGGGGGGGGTCATTGATTTTCCTTATATGTGTATAGCAAAAACTTAAAAATCTTCCTTGAAAAAACCCAAAATAGCTTGAGTTTAGATATTATATACATGAAACATCTTTAAGTAAATATCCACAAAGTTTGTTCAAATAAAACCCAGGGGTCAAAAACTGGCCCTGCCCCAGGGGTGTCATTGTTTTTAACTATGTGTGTATAGTAAAAACTTAAAAATCTTCTTTTTAAAAAAACCCAATGAGCTAGAAACTTAGATGTTTAGCATGAAACATCTTCTTATGGGTGTCTACCAAGTCTAGTTTCAAATAAAAGCCCTTGGTAAAAATTGGCCCGGGGGGGGGGGGGCTATATACAGGGAGCGACCTCAGCGGCCATCATGGCCCTCTTGTTTCTTTTCTATCAACAAAACTTTTAAAATTAAATAGCACAAAGCATGTCCAACTGTTAACATGTAAATACCCCTTGATTTACACATTTTGTGATTACATGATCAATTCGTCTTTCTAAATATAAATGTGCTAAAAATATTGGAATTTGTCATGTAACTGGGGCATGCCAAGCTATATTTATCTCGGCTAGGGAAAAACTCCCAGTACTTTTCCGTGGTCAAGGTCGTAAGATTTACCAGTAAATCTGCAGTAAACACATGGTGATTTAAACTCTACCTGTCCAGAATTTTCAATATAAACCAAAAATTTTACATCGGCAACTGGTAGAACTTTGATTAAAGTTTTACATAAATGATTTCATGGATTCCTCGCATTTATTACTTTATTTATAAATTGCATTTAATCTTGCTTGCGGTGATTCGCGTATGTATGGAGATAAGACAGTTGCGGTGATTCGAGTATACGATGGAGATAATATGAGTGCGGTGATTCACGTATCTATGGGGGAATGGATAATTGAGTAGATTCGCGTATCTGTGGAGTAAAGGGTTTAAAAAAAAAAAACAAAACACCTGTGGAAAATAAAACGCATTATGTCCATATTTTATTGGATATTATCTACCTCATGTACTAAGACAAAATATATAATATTAATTGATCAAAAACCATGAAAATCATATAGCAGTAATACACTGATGTTTTAAGAATATAACATTTTGGCCGTAATCAATTTATAAATCATTTTCTGGCATTTCTGTTAATGTTCACAGTCACACTTGAAAATGAAAGTTTGATTTTGAATGAGTGCTTCAGATTAGAACAGTGGAATACAGCAGGAGTCAGTAGTCAGCCCAATATCGTAATAAATCTGTCATTTCCGGACCATTATTTTTCATAAGCTTCAGTATTCAATAATTGTTAATCGTTTATTTATAACTGGAATTAAGTACAATAATCTAATGCCAAGATTTTGAAAAAATACCATTCTGGAAATTACCGATTTGGTATGATATTGGTCAATGTTAGTTTTTATGGCAGGAAAACTTGCAGTAAAATCTAAGTGAAGACCTTTGAGGCATTTCAGTTCAAGCGGTTTGATTAAAAGTTATCTCCCTTTAACAGCTTGATAACTTATGTTTTCAGGACAACATTGTATGTCTTCCGAAGAAGTTAGCCGCCTCCCTGGGAAATATTAACCCTATCTGTGTATGTTATAAAGTCACACAGACTGTACACTTGATAGACCCTAACACACTGAGAGGTATGTTTATATCAAGTTATGTTTGATTATCATGTATTTTTATGCCACCGCAGCATCTGCGATGCGGTGGCATATAGCGATTCACCTGTGTGTGTGTTTGTTTTGTGTGTTGTGTGTGTTATATAGATTATATAGTGAACTTAAAAAAAATCTTCTTGTGAAAAACACTTGTCCAATTTCAACAAAACTTTGCAGGATTGAGTCCTTGGTGTGAAGGGCTTCCAAGTTGTTCAAAGAATTTAATTCCATGCAGAAATTCTGGTTGCCATGGTAACCCAAAAGGAATTATAAGAATAAATTTAAAAAATCATTCTTGTAAACGACCAAAAGCGCTAATAGCTTAGATATTTTGCATAAGGCATTGTCTGGTAGACCTCTACCAAGATTGTTCAAATTATAACCCTGGGGTCAAAACGCCCCGCCCCGCCGGGGTCATTGATTTTTCACTATATGTACATATAGTAAAAACTTAAAAGTACCTTCTTGTTAAAGACCCCCAAAAGGCCTAAACCTTAGAGATTTTGCATAAGGCATTGTCTGATAGACCATTACCAAGATTGTTCAAATTATAGCCCTGGGGTCAAATCAGGGCCGCCCGGGGTCATTGATTTTTCACTATATGTACATATAGGTAAAAACTTAAAATACCTTCTTGTAAAGACCCAAAAGGGCTAGAGCTTAGATATTTTGCATAAAGGCATTGTCTGGTAGACCTCTATTCAGATTGTTCAAATTATAGCCCTGGGGTCAAATCGCCCAGCCCCGGGGGTCATTGTTTTCCTTATATGTATAATAGTAAAACTTTATAGTCTAAAAAAATTCTCTTCGTAGCAATTGACAATGCTAGAGCGTTAGATATTTTTGCATTGAAAAACTATTGTGAACGGAATTCAGCCCTGGGTCAAAATTTTGCCCCTGCCGGGGGTCATTGATTTTCAATATATACATAAAATGTATAGTAAAAATCAAAAAATCTATTGTTGAAGGTACAAGGCTTAGAGCTTGAATATTTGTTATCCCGCCGAGGAATCGGGAGGGGATATAGTTTTGGCGTTGTCCGTCCGTCCTTCCGTCCATCCGTCCGTCCGAATTTTCGTTTCCGGAGTAGTTCTCTGCAACTACTGGCTGGAATTCAACGAAAATTTTATGGGAATCATCAATATCAAGAGGAGATGCGCATATCGTCGGCTTGTTCCGGTCCGACCCTTTAAACTCAGAGTTATAGCCCTTGATTAGTTATGTAGTATGCATATAGAGTAAAAAATCGTTTCCGGAGTAGTTCTCTGCAACTACTGGCTGGAATTCAACGAAACATTTATGGGAACCTTCAATACCAAGAGGAGATGCGCATTTATTACATGCTTTTCGGTGGTTTATAGAAATATATCAGTGATATAAAACTGGTAATTTCACTGTTTGAAACAGTGAAATTACCACTTTGATAATTTCATTGTTTTGAATTTAAGCCCCTTACGTTGTTTCAGTGAAATACCAGCGTGCACAGAACTGGGTACCAACTTAATGACGTGACGTCGTAAATGACGTCACGTTGTAATTATTATTTGGCGCGCTTTTCATTCAAGTATTAGGTTTAATGTCTTTTTAAAAAACGTTCTTTGCATATAATAAAAAGAAAATTTGTTTAGTTTAGTGTAAGATCGAAATATATTTCAACCTTGTGAACACCAAAAGTTCATATTTTCACTCGTGGCTGCGCCACTCGTGAAATATACCTTTTGGTGCTCACCCGGTGAAATATATTCCGATCTTACACTGAACTAAACAAATATCCTCTATATCGTCGGCTTGTTCCGGTCAGACACTTTAATCAGAGTTATGGCCCTTGATTAGTTATGCAGGAGTCATTGATTTTCACTATGTACATATAGTAAAAAAAAAAAAAAATTTGGTCTGAAGGTACAAGGCATAGAGCTTTGATGTTTGCTATATAATATTCATCTATGGGTTCTCTACTAAAAGTTGTTTTCAATTATGCCCCTAGTGTTAAAATTGGCTCGCCCAGGCAGTGATTCTCATTATGTTTCACATAGTAAAAACAGAAAATAAAACAAATCTTTTCTGAATGGGAGAAAAGCTACAGCTTAGATATTTGACTTGAAATGTTGTTTGGTGGACCTGTATCAAGAATTGTTTTGAATTAAAACCCTTGGGTCCAAAATTTTGCCTTGCCCAAGGGGACAGTGACCTACTTTCTTGTCCTTTGATGTACAGCAATGAAATTTTGACCATGTGCACAGTTTTAGTTGTAAAAATTGAACTTTGATATCAGGTGACCTAGATTTTGATGATGTGACCTACTTTCTTGTCCTTTTATGTACAGCTATAAAATTTGAACCCATGTGTACAGATTAAGATGTTAAGTGAACTTTGATTTCAGCTGACCTAGATTTTTGACAAAAAGTGTCTTACTGTGTTGTCCTTTGATGTAGTCATGAAATTTTAGGCTGTGTAAATATGACCATCAAATTCCACTAGACTCAAGTGCATTGATATATTCCTACTCTGATCTTTTATTGAGTTAAACAACAGATTTAACCACTAATGCTGATAATAAGAATTAGATAGGTCAGGGATCTATGCATTATGACAATCTTCAAAATTGTATAGAAACAAAAAAAAATCTGTTTTTACACTACTATTTAGTGTTAGTGTTGTATTAATGCGGTGGCATAGCATTTTTCTCAAATGCAATCTTGTTATAAGTTATTTTTTTTTGTTTTACCCTAGTTAGGAATAGGTCTGTGAATGCCCAAAATATCATGATACATTTAAAAAACATACATTGATAAAAAACTAAAATACAAGTCAGTACAACAGTCAAGCTAGGAATTTTTTTTAAGTAATTGGGAATTTTGGAGTCCATTCTGGGAAAAATTTTGGCATTTTCTTGCCATTTTTGTACTGGTACATCAGTAACATTAAGAAAGAGAATTAACTGTTCTTGATTTTAAGGTTTCATCAGATTAAAGAAAATAAGTTGTTATATAGTATTACTTAGTTTGATTGCAGATGAGGTTGTGATTTAACCTCATAACAATGATTGTTTAATAGTCAAACAACATCAAACATTTTAGCCATGCAGTATGTATGACAGTTTGTATGACAGTGATCCTTGGATCCTTTTTATCAGTAAAGTTAGAACTTTGCTATATTACAATACAGAATCATTGTTATTTAAAACTATACGTAAAAGTCAATGTTTCAACAATGAAACTAGCTATTATTGTGAATATTTTGACAGTTGCTGAAGTAAGTGGTCAAGTGTACTGGAGGTCACCATTTGTATCTCTGTGTTCACCTAAACAACTGATAGAGTACATGGTGATGCAAGTAGACATTGTACTGGACAAGGATAAACCTGTTGTTAGAGGTCAAACTTCACAGAAGGTATGTTATAAAGTCAATTATTAAATTTTTTTAAATCCTTATGTCTCAGCTTGTTGAAAGCAAGTGTTTGATTTCAAGTATGTTATAGCATTAACAGCATAAAAATGACCTATGATTCATTGATAGTTCAGGTAATTGTATTTGGACACAACATACCACTAGAGGAGAGATATGATTTTTGGGAGTGGGGTATAGATATCTGATTTTTGGTGGGTGTTGAAAAATTACCTTTGACACTAGGTCAAATTTTGGAGATTTCACCACTACTTCGGTTATAGGGTCGTATGTACATAGGCTGAGTGGTTATGGCTGTGACTTCAAACAATTGCCTCTCGCCACTGAAGGTTCAAGTCGCACAAGCGATTTTGGATTCTTTGTGTGTGAAAGCTATACAGCTAGGTTATAGAATGCCAGTGGTTCTACTTGTCTGTGCCTAAAATAATGTACCGAGGGGCGCCTGAGGTGTCCCTCCACCAGTAGAGCTTGAATGGCGCCATATGACCTATACTGTGTTAGTTTATACAAGTTTATTTTAAGTGCGTTGTGTTTGAAGAGCTAGTAGAGCTTATGCTGAGACCACGCGGAGGGTACTAAGCGGATAAAAGTGTAGAAGTTTTGCTTGCTGAGGAAGACAGACGACTTGCCCGGCTGAGGAGGGGGTTTTGAACCCAGCGGCCGTCAGCAATCTTAGAGTTACTAGTCTGACGTGTTAACCACTCGGCCATGCCGCCACTGTGTTGGTGCGACATTAAACCCAACCAAATAATAAAAAAAAAAAAAACGCCCTCTATTATGAGTGTGCTTAGACTAGTTATAAACTTGTTATATTTCAGCATGTGTTAGCAGATGTCTGGGTATCTAGGATGAGTGATCTAGGTGTGAATGATCAACAGTATTTCTGTAGAACACATATAGGGCATCTTCTCAACACCGGTGATACTGTACTAGGGTAGGTATTGTAATATTTCTTACAAATATTAGAAAATAAACAGTTTTTATCAAAGAAATTTTGCATAATTGGGTGTCTTAAAGTGAATCCCGTCCTTTATTCAACTACATTTTTGTTTGCGTGAGATGACATTCATATGAGGACAGAATGGCAAATATTTCATGTCATAGTAAATTTTAAAATATTTAAAGTATTGTTTCTGGAACCAATCAGTACTGGTGTAACTTGAGAAAATATCATTGTTGTCATACCAGTAGGGATGAAGCCCATGATCTCTGTACTTAGAAGAATAGTCGTTGATCACTAGGTTACCTAGGTCACTTTGCCCTCTCCTAATATATTGTGATTGATTGTAGATATCTAAATATGATAACATGTATCTTTTCTAGGTTTGACATGTTGAATGCTAATTTAAACAATGAGCACATAGAGAAATTGAAAGAAGAAAAGCTTCCAGACGTGGTATGTTGATATTTTATTTAATGTTTATTTAATGAACACTTTATTATATACATTTATTACATGTTTTGCAGTAGATTACTGAATAATAACGGTTAATTATATTCTGATAATTTCACAGTAATGATTACCAAATATAATTTCACAGTAGCCGAACTATATTTGGCGTAAAAATAAAATATTTATCATTAATGAATGTTTTTTTTTCAGCGGAAATGTAGTCAATCATAATAACAAATGTACGTGATAACTGTAGTTCGTAAATATTTACGAACGTTGTGCTGAAAAAAACATCTAAATCTAAAATAATCATGGAATTAATTTTGCTTCAATTGTGACGTCATTATTTGATGACGTCATGAAGATAAGAGCATGACGTTACGCGGCAAAAATCAGTAAAATGGTGTAAAAATCGTTAAAAAATCATGAAATAAACAGAAAATTTGTTTGTTTTACATGTAAGATCAAATAATATTTCACTCGTGAACCCCAGCTATTATATTTTCACTTGTGGCTACGCCACTCGTGGAAAATATTGCATCTGGTGTTCACTCGGTGAAATATTTTTCGATCTTACACTGAAACAAACAAATATCCTCTATGTATATATATATATATACATCACATGTTATTACATATGATAAGAGCAGTTACAACACGGGAGAATAAAGAGGTACCAATGAGCCAACAATAGGGTTAATAAATTATTGTATGATGAAATGATTTATCACATACTTGGCTGATCTTGCTACTCCGTAAAAATGTTATGGCACGGTCATGCATATATTTTGACATGATGTAATTTGCATTATATAAACATAGCATTAAAATGTGATTAATGTTAGCGTTATACTATATAAATGGTTCTTTTTCACTACAAACAATCTTTATTTTTGGTATGTGATAAATAGAATATTAAATTTGTGTAAGTTCATTACTGAATTTATTGAACTCGTTCAATAAAATAATATAATGCTCACCAAAGGCTCGAATAATATATTTTTATTCAACTTGTTCATTAAATTCAGTATTAAACTTACACTCATTCAATATCCTGTATAGACATGAAAATCTGTAGTTATTATTTTTGTTTGTTGATAAATGAATTGTATTTGTTATAAATCTAATATGAGCTAAAGTAAACAAAATGAAATGACATAAACTCTTGCCCTTATGGAACTGAATGTGATAAACCTTTGCCACCATTACATGTATAGAGGTAGGTCAGTCTGTATGTCTGTACTTGACTGCCTTACTGTCAATTTTCATTTTGATATCCTAAAATATTCATTTTGATATCCCAAAATCTGATTCTGTACAGTTCCGAGAATGCTTTTTAGTGAAGACTTTTTTAGAAATTCAGTAGGTTAGAAGTTAAAAACCATGTATATAATATATGTTACCTAGGTGATCGTGAAGAAAGTATTTGCTGATAAGAAGAAACGTAACAGACGTAGAAAGTGGAAGTTACATCACCTTAATGATGAATTACATAACCTTGACAGTGATTCTGTCATGAAGTAAGTCTTTCATATATAGAATTATTATATCACCTTGGCAGCAATTCTGTCTTGAAGTAAGTCTTTCATATATAGAATTACTATATCACCTTGGCAGCAATTCTGTCATGAAGTAAGTCTTTTACATAGAATTACTAAATCACCTCAACAGCAATTTTGTCTTGAATTAAGTCTTTTATATATAGAATTACTGTATCACCTCGACAGCAATTCTGTCTTGAAGTAAGTCTTTGAGAAATAATTGACTTTGTAACCTTGACAGTGATTTTGTCATGAAGTAAGTCCTTTAAACATAAACTGCATTATATAATCTTGAAATTATGAAAGAACCTTGACAATGACTGTCATGAAATAAGATTTTTTCCCATGGAATTTTGATATATAATCTTGACAGTGATCTTGTCATAAAGAAATACCTTATTAGACTAGTAGTTTTAATCAGTTTATAACATTATTACATAAAATTGTTTAATTTCAGTGAGTACACAGATTTCCTGGAGGATTTGGAAGAAGACCCCTCTATCAGACAGAATGTCAATATATATAAAGGTATACTTCTAGGTTATTGTTTACATACTTGTGAATGGTTTGTTCTGCAGGCATGTGTCTTTTATCTCAAAAACTATTTCTTGTTAAAATCCTTAAAAGAAATCTACTCTGTAATATCCAGGCGCACACTATCACCAATCACTATAAAACAAACAAAACAATAAAAAAAACTCACGCAGAAGTATCGGGATAGATTCTTTTGCTTAGTGGTCTAGAGTGTTATGTTTGTTTATAAGCCAATTTTTGTGAGTTTAATCTCCACAGCCACTTTGTTCAATAGGGAGAGCACAATTTACATTAGTAATCTAGTGGTCGCAGGTTCTGTGTGACAATTGATCTGGAACATCGAGTCTAATGGTCATTTGTCTCTTGGTGCTGATTCAGAAATCATATCAGATTAATAGTTGGTCACTTGCCAAGAAATTGAAAATCACTGGTTAGTTATCCAGGAAAGCTAGTTAGGTGGATAAACAGCTGAGACAAAAAATGTGTTAAATTGGCGTTAACATCAGAAAAACAAAAAGTTTCAAATGAATAACTGTTTTAACTGTTTGTAAGATCAGGACGCATATGAACAAGTAATGTTTCTATTTTTAGACAAGAACAGGATTCCCATTGACATGGATGACACAGATGAGGAGGGTATTCCCCAGATCAGTCTCCAAGAAATGCTTGATGACCTTCACATTGCTGATGATGCTACTGGAGGGGAAGGGGCCGCCATGATGGATTAGTTACATACATCAGGATTTTACTTGGTGTTGAAATAGAAGAAACAACTGAGACAGGAGGATGAATATACTATGTTACAACATATATTGTATTCCTGTTTGAATCCTATAAATAGATTGGTGTAACAATGTTGTAAAATCACAATATACATGTGTATCAATATTTCGGTTTTCTTCTGCATCAAACATTGTACATGTATATATAGCCACTAAGGAATTGTGAAAGTTTGATGATGTAAAAGTTAAAACATTTTTTCAGGAAAACAGGACTATCTTAAGCTGTCACATAACATTGAAAGCAGCATTGCTATTATTACGTCTTGATACACCTTTTGTCTGAGAAAATACATAACTAACTTGATTAATTTGGCATGACAAGTTAAACCCATTTTACATACTGTTTCTTTTTCCTACCGTCAAACCATTAGGGAAAAGACATCACCCGTCCTTAAAGTATCTCCATTTTTTTGGACAAGTCTTATAATTTGGACTAAGTGACTACATTTTCTAAAATGATGCAATGGATTTATTTATATGATCTGCTTCCTGTATTTTGGTTTAATTAAATGTTGTTTGAACAAAGATTGCATAAGATGTGGAAACATAAAACCTGAATGATCTAGTTAAGTAAAAGGATGCCAAGTGCAAGTCCCTGGTCAAGCTACTGGTAAAATGATTCTTTTACTTGTAAAGATATTGGTGATTACAGGTTAGTTAATAGGAGTGTCCGTGGCCGAGTGGTTAAGTTGGTTGACTTCAAACCTCTTGCCCCTCACTGCTGTGGGTTAAAATCTCGGCAGGGACTTTGGATTCTTTCAAAGCTGTCCAGCTAGCTTACCGAACATCGTTGGTTCTACTCAGGTGCCCATTGGTGCCTGAAATAATGCACTAAAGGACACCTGAGGTCTTCCTTCACCACTAAAGCTAGAATGTCTCCATATGACCTATACTGTGTCGGTGTGACATAAAACCCAAAACAAATAAACAGGTTAGTTATCTAGAAAAACTGGTATGACCAAACATGTTAAGATCTGCATATATGTGTATATATCTTGATTAACAATATAATTAAACCGAATTTTTTAAGTAGACCCAGCACATCAGATTACTGTTTTTACTATGCAAGTAAGATTTTCATTTCAGTCCACATGATATTTGTTTATACTTGTGTACCTTATATGGCTGTGACAGAATGTTAAATGTTTATTACTAAATGTTCATATGTTGATAAAATATATATGTATGTACTAATGTACAAACATTTTACATCATGTTTGATAGATTCTGTTTATAAATGATACATATACAGACTGGGGAGGTTTATTTTGTCCTTTTGGAATGGAAAGCTAAAAAATAAAATAATCTATATTGCTTATATTGGTTTGTTGTTGATAATACATATTTGTGCAGAATATATCCCTCTTGACTGTTCTTTTTTATTGAAATTTTTCTTGAGCTATAAAGATCACTTTAAATTCATTCTGGATACAGATAGTTAATAATTATCTACTACACAAACATTTCTATCTCCAATGATTTGAGGGGTTCTGCCTCGAAACGTTGGAGAAAGAAAAGTTTGTGTAGTAGATAATTATAAAGATCATGTAAGTGGTTTAAATTTTATTTTATTAATAATTGGTTTAAAGTTTAATTCATCCCTGTGAAGAAATTCATCTATAGAAGATAGTACAAGTTGAAGTGTCAGCTTGCAATATATGATACATGACAGGTGTTTGTTATCACAATAATCCATACACATTGAAAGGCAATTAATTCTACACTGTGATAGCAGTAGAACATTGACCAGAACCTAACATCAGCCATTGTAAAACAGAACTACTACCTTCCTTGCTTGATTCATGGTAGAACATGACTGGCAAACTTTCAAGTAGTGAGTTGAAATTTGGAATGTGAAAAGTTGACTATATTTTAGATTAGATTCTGTTGATTTATACCAATAGTTTCAGCCATTTGTTGATCACATGACATCAAAGTTACCACCAAATGCGTTTTTGAACATGGAACTTGCTGCATATTGGCAACTGATACTACAACACCACAGTCTTGCAAATGATCCGGTTCTACAGTATTTGATTGACATTTTTTTATTCCTTTATATTTATAATTATACCATGACTGAATGCATTTTGCACATGACCTGCAATAAAAGGTGAGGTAGAACCCTGAAGTAGAGAGCCAATTTTAAAAGTTTCCTATAGTCTTTGGACTGCAAGAAGACACTGGCCCTGGTGAAACTAAATTACTGTTAAGTATTGTTCATATGATGATTTTCTAGCTTGTTTATCTGATACAGGAATACAACAGTTGCCCCTCTGTACATTATCCCAGACTAGCAAGCTCCCAAGTAGAACCACTAACTATATGTAAAATATTTTTTTGCGAGAAATACAGAATATGTTAAACTTGCTTAGTATCTTCCTGACATAAAATATCCAAGCTAATGGAAACAATGTCCTGCCCTTGACAAGGTTCAAATTCCATGAAGCCAGCAATCCTATGGTTACAAGTCAGGTGTATTAACCACTCGGTCACACTACCACATTTAAATGGTTTACTAACATGAAACTCAACAAACACCATTTATAATCCAACATTTTTTTATTTTCTTTTGACTATCACAAATATATATCATCTACAATTATTGGTTACACAAATTACAGCAGTAAATTTAAATGTAAAACTAATATTAGGTCTTGAATAATATAATAAATTAAGGTTAAATTTATCACAATTGTATGTAGAATAACATTTAAATTTGCAGTCAAATAGGAACATATGGGGAAAGAATCACAAGAGAGACTGAAGGTTCTGTGGTTTGTATTTATACCAATTAACACAAGAAGATGAACATACAAAACTAGTTGAGAATTTTTATACATAATTATTATTATGACTATTTATGGCTCTCACAAGAATAGAGATACCCAGGGTCTAGGCATGTGTGGGGTTTTCCCATCTAGTCCTAGGTACAAACAAACTTTTATAGTTACTACTATAGTAAACGCAATATTTTGATCTCTTTTTTATGAATGGTATTGCACCCAAGAGCTATAATGGTAAAGGTTGTTTGTTCCCCAGGATTAGATGGGAAAAACCACATTTGCTGAGATTCAGATAACATCTATTCAACAAGGGCCATTACTCCTACATTATATACTTATGGACAACAGTTGAAAAGTATCAAGAATCTAAGTTTCAAGAAGTAACAAGTGTTACATGGTGAGAAAAATGTGAAGCCTGTACAGAACTTGAACCAGGGATTCTTGGAATACTATTTTGCGGCCTTACCAACTGAGCTATTTGGCAGCATTTTTATGGGTGCATTACACTTCACATAAAAGTTACAAAACTGTAACCTATAACCTTGAATAAAGTTTTACCTAAAAATCTTTTTCAATAATCTTGCATTATACTATATCGATCATAATCAGCATTATGAAAATATTATCAGTACTGTACCTAAGTTTTAAGTGTTAAAGAGACTAAAGGTAATCATTCTTGTTGGTAAAATTGGTATTGCAATACATACATGTAGATTTCTAGGCCATAACTGCTTTTCATGGGGCAACAAAAAATATAATTCCATGTTTTTCAAAAAAGAATAAAGGTAATATTGGAATGACAGATTGAACAAAGCACGATTAGGTAAACATGAGAATGAAGAAATACATATTTCTTATAGATACATAAAGCCTGAGAAAAAAATACAATTTTCACCTTTGAAGAAAAGGTAGACACACTATTGTTTTTTTTTTAAATAATATTTTACTTACAGATTTAGAGTATATGTGAAGAAAGCAAAATGCAGCATTGAACCACAGGTGTTCGGCACTTTGTTAAATACGCCAAAAAAAAAAAGATGCATATATACTATAGTGACAAATTAACGTGTCAAACACCTGTGAAATCATTTATCATAATATTAGTAGTAAAATGTAAACAGTAAAGTATGATTTTGTCATCCATAATAAACAAAATACCAAATCACTATAACTTTACTATTTGACCAAAAGCAAAGGATGTTTCAGCTGTATTAATATTGCTTTGTAAACTGTTAATGTAATAACAGAACTGTAATTGTAATAACAGAACTGTAATTGTAATAACAGAACTGTAATTGTGATAACAGAACTGTAATTGTGATAACAGAACTGTAATTGTAATAACAGAACTGTAATTGTAATAACAGAACTGTAATTGTAATAACAGAACTGTAATTGTAATAACAGAATTGTAATTGTAATAACAGAACTGTAATTGTTATAACAGATCATCAAAAATAAAAACCTATTGAGAAATACAAATAAAAGCATTTTCGGGGCCAAATGAGCCTTTAAGTCTTAGCAAATGTATATAAATACCTAAAACTAAACTGGCCACTTCATAATTATATACTGTGTTCATACATGTACAAAAAAATTTTTCATGCTTTTGGTGTACATCAGGTAGGTAATTTTGACAAAATATGGCAAGATTTCATGAACAACTTAAGTTTCTACATAAATTATTTCTTAAAATACCATAAAACTTCCAATAAATGCCCTGTATTTATCACTTTTCTCTTTCCATTTATTTTCTACAAATGTGAGCAGTACTGGAGTGTATTAATTTTGTAATATGAATTAATTAGCAAATATTACAAACTGTGTTTCACAGTCATTGAGTTTACACACAGACATAAAATAACTATAACTTTCAATTTTTTTTTCCAGAAAAAAAAAGTGTCAGGGGAGGTTAGGCATTAATGAAGGAAGAACATTTATTAGAAGTTTTACGGTATTTAATTTTCTTAGGAAAAAAAAATGTGGGATTGTAAGAATAATATCTATTCAATAACAGAAAGTTTTACACAACAGTAAAAGTAACAAAACAGATTTAAGATGACATTATGCCCATCCTAGGGTATATATAATCCGAGCGCGATAAACAGAACTTTCTTCATATTTATTTATAGTACGGAACAGTCTATATTAATACTTTATAGGTAAATGAAATGTTGCACATCTCAATGATTGTACGTTTGGCTGATAATTGTAAAAGTAAATTATAAATGTCGCAATAGCTCAATCGGTAGAGCACTACACTCAGAAGGAACCTACAGGTGGGTAACTGGCTTCAAAAAAGTTTTTTTTTTCTTTCTTTTTTTCATTTATTTTCCCTTTCATATATATACACACACGAAATTACATAACAATAATTCCTTTTGTTTATTTTTATTGATGTATTTATATTTCTTTTTAAACGAAGTATCTTCACCTCTTTATTATATGTTTTTCACAAATGTATGAATTTTAACAAATTTCAAGAGACAAAAATTACAATATTTTTTAAGTTTATATGCGAAATCATATATTTATTTTGTCAGACATTAAGTAATTATGAATAGAAAGAATGAAATAAGGATCTAAACTGTTTGATATTTATTAACATTATAATTTACAAGTGTGTGAAAATCATGGATTGTCGTAACCCGCTCACTTTAGATTTTCATCTATTCATATTATTTATTTTGTTCGTCTTATCTTATCTAGTGTACTTTATTAACAGTTCGAAACAAGAATAATCTGTCTAATTATTATAGATTTGTTAACTTTCGAATATTGTAATGTTTTGTTCACTTGCAGGTTGTACTTTTTGTGTATGCTGGTATATTTTATTAGTGTGTACTGTGTTGGATTTTTTGTAGATATCTAGACGCGTTAGTTGATCTGTTTTATCAATGCTCGGGTACTCTTATTGTGTGATGTTACTACCAGGTGAAATTACAAATATATGGTTTACTTATGTTTGCACAGTGTTTTAAGGTTATTCTTTTTTCCTTTGCATGAACGATAAATATAACTCACATGATCCAAGGAAAATTTCTATAAATATCCATTGAAATTTACCTGTAATATTCAATTGATAAAAAAAGTGTGGGTTAGTCTTTTATATTTTAGACAGATTTATATTTTATCCTGAATATTTTCCAAAATCAACTGTGGGTCAATCACCATTATTACAGTCAATGTTTTGAAATATGTAGTCAATGTAGCTCAACTTCTGAAAAATGAGCATAATGTCACTTTAACAAATAAACACAATTCTATAACTACTATATTCTTCTGTCTTAAAACAGACAAAAAGTGATATAATCAAAGCGCCATGTCATGTGCGGTACAGTACAGTCTCTGCCAAGCAACCCCTTTGAGAGACAGATTTTGCTGGCGTTGCTTTAGAGGGGTTAAATCTATTGTGAAGTCTTGCTAAGGAGAAAGATTGTTTATGTCTGATGTACAGAGGTTATTGGTTTATCAAGGGTTGCTCTACAGAGGCTGCACTGTATTACATGTGCTGTATAAAACATAAACAACCACATAAAACAAATTTTACCCTCTAACAAACATGGCTGTGTAGTTCAAGTATATATGAGCCGCGTCAAGACAAAACCAACATAGTGTGTTTGCGACCAGTATGGATCCAGACCAGTCTGCGCATTCGCACAGTCTGATCCATGCTGTTCGCTTACCAACTCTTTTACAAGTAGAGAAACTGATAGCGAACAGCATGGATCCTGATCAGACTGCGCGGATGCGCAGGCTGGTCTGGATCCATGCTGGTCGCAAACCCATTATGTTGGTTTTGTCATGACGCGGCTCAAATAGCATAAATATTATAAAGTGTAAACCAATATCCTGCTGGGATTAAAAGTAATTAGCCTTTGCCACCAGTCTTATCAGAGCCAGGCTAGTCCGAATATACGCATAGTGTGCCAAGGCTCTATTAGCTGTTGCCTGATTATCTTGAATTTTCAATCCTAATACTCCTAAAATTCAAACTTGTCAGTTCCATAATGGAAGCCAGAGATAATTCTTTTAAACAAACTGCCAGGGCTTTTGTTTCTTTTACAGCAAGGGCTGTTTAAGGGTTGCTTCTCCGTAAAATTCAGTTTACAGACAGTGTATTTTCTCGCACTTTTTCAAAAATACGGGGCTATGTTTCCCCGAATTAATGGGAAGGTTCCCTTCCCCTTATCATGTAAATAAACCTTGTCATATGTGATGTGGGAGATTAAAGTTAACAATGTTTGAAGTAAATACCTCTTGTTATGAAAGACAGAAAAGTTTTGTTTTTTTTAAATTTGTACAAAACAATGTTTAAATTTCCTGAATATTGAAAATTTGACCTTGAAAGGTCAAGATTATTTAAGGGTCAAGGTTTTATTTCCATGTTTATCAAGGAAGCTGCCATCAAATGATGTATAATGGTGAACAGATATGAAGGTTCTGGTTTAGTGAATGCGTAATTATTATTCATCTTGCATCAACTTCGTGTAAAAGGTAATTTTGTTTGCAGGGACACAGACTGACCAGACAAAATAAGTATATGCATATTGTTCTATTGTTCAGTATGTAAAGATGCATAATACTATTTTTTTAACTAAAAAGGTTAAATCCTTTGAAATGTATCTAGCTCAATAAACATTTAAGAAGAACTTTACATACTGCTATGTTAAGGAGCTCCACTTAGTTCCAAAGTCTAAAATCATAAAATTTGAAAAGCTGACAAAGATCAACAAGGGCACATAAAATGTTAAAAACATGAAAAAATATAATATTGAAGAAAAATACTAAGAAGCAAATTGACAAACAATACTTAGCGCTTTATTTGCCCAATATGAGTAAAATCAATTAACTTTGAAATTTTTAGGCCTTCTTTGTACAATAAAAGAATTATTCTTCTGGAAAACCAGAGTTAGAGAATGATCTGAAATTTTGCATTCAAAGTTATTGGTATAGACCATACTCATATATGGTATTAGAATCACGAAAAAAATATTTCCAGTCCTGTCATGACAATTGCTGGACTTCATTGGAGTCCCTTTAAGGAATAGAACACGACTTTGTGTTTAAGGACTATTCTTATGTAACATCCTAATGAAACTACTTCTGCCTTCTCTTAACAGTTTTATTCTTTAAATACTTATCTTTCGTACATTTTTGTCATGAGAGACCATGTTTACGACTGATACATCATTAATTGAAAAAATATCAGTATAATAACATGTTTATTAGGGTCTTTTATCCTTAATTGACAGTTATTTGTAATAAATCACAACATCTACAAATATGTTATTGATAATGTAGACACACTGACCCAATGACTAGCAAAAATACGTCCACAAACAAACATAATTATACATGTATTATACAGGTTGCCTTCATATATTTGATGCCGGCATCAAATCTCTATATATTAAGAACATCTAAACTTTTAACATGAAATCATTTACACTGCAGGTACATGAACTTCAGAAACCTTTAAATAAAACATTATAGAAATTCAGACTATTTGAAATAACCTTTTCGTTAATGCAATGTCTTCTTGACAACTTGTTATCAAAGAAATTAATGGCAAAAACTTGTTTTCAAGAGCAAGAATACATGTAGTTGGAATGTTTGTGGCATTTTCCAATATAAATGACTAAGAAAAGTAGAGCCTGCAAATCAAAGATAAATCAAAAGTAGCGTGACCACAAATCTTACAAAACTTTTGTTATGATATCGAATATTTTGATTGAAAAGATTAAAGTGCATGATTGTAATAATCTTGTTTTTTTGAACAAATAAATTGTTTGGTCACAAATCCATCTTTGTATCTAAAATTAACTCAACTTTCTTAAATTAACTCAACTTTCAATAACTAACTCAATCTTCTTCTTCAACTTTTTAACGATAATTTAAATAATTTACCAGACTTTCAAGAATTAACGCAACTTAGTAAAAGTAATTCATACTTTGTAATTAACTTAATTTTCTATATAGCTATTATACAACTATCTTTAACTAACTCTAAATTATATTTCTAATACTAGTATCCGTTCCTCTCAGGTAAATCTAAACTTTCCTAGTTTCAATGGAGACCTGTAAAATTTAATTAAGGACTAAAGAAAAAAGTGGTAAATATCCTGCATAGACTCCTCCACATCAGTCCAAGGGAGGTAAATCTTCCCATGTCTGAACATTTACTTTCTTTTGTCTCGATTCCTTTTGTCACATTTGCACTGTTGAGGTATAAAAGTGATCCTTTTTCCAGATTTTCTTGACCACCAAAAACACCTGATATGCTTCCTCTGTGCGGTGCATATATTAAATCCTTCATGGAATATAAACTAGCGTATGGACACTCTAGAACCATACATGAATACTGATGACAGAACCAAACACAACTAGCTTTGTTAACATATGACTAAATCAATGGGTACAGGTACCCGGCATGTATCAGTGAACGAAGAACGATGTATTCACTTTAAGTAGTAAAGTATCTGGGTCCCAGCACCAAGTGTCCTCATTATGAGCAATGTCATAAAAATCTGGGTACCGGAAATATACTGCTGAGTGTCTCTTAGCAACATCTCCATTATTAATGACTGAAAAAAGAAAACAAAGTTTGTGTGTTAAATCTTCAACAAAATAAACTACATATGGTTTCCACAAACTACGAGTAGTATTGCAAAATCATTATTATTTGTGGGCACTAATTTTCATGGTTTTCCATGCACAGCTCAATCCAAAAATTTAAGATTTAATGAAATTCAATTTTATCTGCTCTAAGATTATTTTGCATTACATTACTTGCACAAAGTGACATACCACTAATCTATATAACAACCCACAAAAATGTCCCATGTGACAAAAGTGAATTCACAGTATTTGTAGAACATGTTTTAGCTTACATGTAATATGAGGCATAAAACTGAAGTTATATAATATCTTTGAAATTTTTATGAATATATACAAATTTTTAAACAGTTTTGTCAACTGAGAAAAGGCCAATAGTCTGGCCGATTGTTTTTGTGATAACTGTAACGTCTTGTGACATCATACAGACCTCTCGGGATCTCCACATAATATCCAGCTGTATTAGAAACAGGCCAAACATAAAACACAGACACAATAACGATAAAAACCGCAGTACCAGCTCATTACGAGAAAATCTGAAAAATATCGCAAGAAAAGATTTGCCAAGATATTAATAAATCTATGATGTCTCTACATATTTATATGTACTCATCTTCGATTTTGTTATATTTTCTTCAGACAAAATTTATCAAAAGCCAACAGCCTAAATGAGTAACATAAACAACAAATGAGCCGCGTCATGACAAAACCAACATAATGCGTTTGCGACCAGCATGGATCCAGACCAGCCTGCGCATCCGCGCAGTCTGATCAGGATCCATGCTGTTCGCTTACAAACCCTATTACAAGTAGAGAAACTGATAGCGAACAGCATGGATCCTGATCAGACTGCGTGGATGCGCAGACTGGTCTGGATCCATGCTGGTCGCAAACCCATTATGTTGGTTTTGTCATGACACGGCTCAAATAATACATCAGTTAATCGGAAAACAACATCCCCTACCCCTTGCCCCTTGTCAGTAGTAAGGACTATTTGACTTTTGAAATAACACAACCCAAATATTTAAAGGCCCTGTCATGCAGGAGACACTAGTGACAGATCATTCATTTCCAAGACTTTAGACTTATCAACAAACCTACCAAAACATTATTGTCATATAAGTTCTTATTAGCTTTAGCTTATTCAAAGTTGACTCAATGAAATTTCCCTTTAAGTTGCATTTTAAATGTGTACAAATTGGAATTTATTTTTCATGTACATTGTATTGCGATTTCAGTATTTCAATCATATATACATTTGACTGTTTTTTTTTTTTGTGTTTATTCTTTCACTGAATTTCATCCATATAATTAGTCTTTTAATCAATCAGTGGATGGTGTACTGTAAAATTCTTTAAACTTAAAAGATTATCATTTTATTCAGTATTATATCAAAAATTAAATTTTCTTTTTTAAATTTTCAAAGACAAATATTTGGGAGTGAAAATGAATTGTCAAATTGGGAGTGAAATGTCTAGGTTCACATGTCAAAAGTGAAATAAATATTGTGCTTAAGTGTGAAATAAAATGTATGGGTGTGAGACTTCTTGGGGAGTGAAACATCTTCAGACTGTAAAATGGCTTTGAATAGGTGAAAAGTCTTTAAAGTGAAAATGTATTCGGTGTGAAATGTCTTACATGTAAAATGTCTTGCAAGAGAAATGTCTTCTGACTTAAAATGTCTTGGGTGTGAATTATCTTTAGTGTGAAATATCTTCAATGTGAAAAGTGTTGGGAGTGAAATGTCTTTGACAAGTGTGAAATGTCTTGGTATTGAAACATCTTTAGCCTGAAATGTTTTCAGTGGGTAAATGTCTTGGGAGTGAAATGTCTTCAGTGTCAAATGTCTTTGGTGTGAGTCATCTGACATTCATGCAGGAGCAATCAGATTGCAGGGCCCTTAATAATACACCCATAAACAGTGCCTAGATATCAACTAGGTAATTTGTAGTAAATAAACCAAAGAAATGTCTAATGAAAACCAAGAGTTATCTGTCCAGAATTGTTGGTATCAAAAACAAAAATTGATCTTGCATATACACTGAAGTCAACCGTCCATTTAGCTCAGTAGGTAGAGCATTGGACAGTAGTCTGTGAATCAGGCGACCCTGGTTCAATTCCCAGACAGTTCAGATCACTTTCCTTGTTGATTAATCATAAAATCTTTTCTACAGTCATTCGCACTATACCTCAGCTCTGGCATGTACAGAAGTTTCAGTTCCTTTCTAATTGAAGGCAACCAAAACTGGTAAAACTGCTTGGCAGCCTGCCCAGGAATGATGCCGTTGCTGAATTGTGTTCTGGTAATGTGGCTTAATGCGGTGATCCAGAGTGAAAACTAACAACTCCATGCACTGTGACCACCACCACCTAATACAATGATAAACAGTTTTTGACCTAGCAGACGACAGTCTATTCTTATTCAGAAGTTTTGTGAGTAAAGATAAACCAGTTTCGTTTCACACTGAATAAATTGTATGTAAAATGGTCTGACATATGGTAGGTTTAACAGTTAATTTGGTGTCAAAAGAGGTGTTGAAGTATATACTTGACAAAGCTAAGATCCAAAGCTTTTCATTGGTGTAAATGAATTTTAAAAATCTGACAATACATCACAACAAACTAGCGACTTAAAAACGGCTTGATTTGTATTGTTTTAGCGTTAGAATTGAAATATCGACTTTACTCATAGAATTAGGAAACAACTCATATTATCTCACTCGATATACTTCGGTTATTTACGTAGTTCATATCAAAACTGTTTTATGGTGTATTAAACTGTTAAATAGAGAAAAACAGAATACCTAAAGAACGCCCAAAACGACAAAATGAAAATGTTTGATTGAGCCTGTTCATTGATGGTAATTTTTAAGTGCAAGTTACTGTCCATGATTACGCATGATTTCTAACAAATTTATTCTTAAACACTGTTAACCCATTGCTTCATGTCAGCACTTTTTGTGAAAAATGGCTGTTTTCATTGAAAAGTCTCCCGTTACAAGTTTCAAATTGCTATAATACTATAAAAACTGCTTCAACACTAATCAAACTTGGCACAAATGTTGACTGGACCATTGTCCTTGTAACAACATGCTCAGCTTAAATTTTCTGTTACCATGGCAATGAGGGGACATCTCAAAATTGCCAAAAATCACTATTTTGCGGTTGATTTTTTTCATCAAAACTGATTTCAAAGTGCTGCAACTTCTCAATGGATTGAGATAGAGTCAAATGCTTTTCAGCGTTGGTTACATGTTACCTTATGATCAATCTGCGGGTCATTTATAGCCTCTCACAAGTCCAAAATTTTCTTTAACAGGACATTTCGGCCCCAAACCAATGGCCCCAGTGGAAAAATCGGCCCCCTGAACGTTTCGGCCCTTTTCCGCAAGACGTTTCGGCCCTACTCTACAGTACAGACAATTAATTACATTAATTAACAACAATTAATATAATTACAATTATGAAACTTTAATTCTTTAAATAATTATTTATTATCTTTTGATCTCTTGAACCATTTAGATATACGTTAATGTTTTTAAAGGTGTAACAAACAATAAAGGCAGGTTAATCCTTAATTTATAAAACAAACCACTAAAACTTCTTGATTAAGAAAGTTAATTACAATTATTCCTTAGAAAACAATTTAATTTAAACTATATAGGCCTACGTATTTTTTCAAGGTGTAACTAATTAACTGTTTATAGCTTTATGTAAGTAATATCAGAGAAAACTTCAAAAGATTTTTTGAACAAGAACTGTCGGAGGACAGTAACGCTCGACTATTCGAAAATTTGTCACAAGGGTGTTTCATTGAGTATAATAATGCTTACCTATATGAATACATAAAATTGTCCGAAAAGGTACAAACCCTTCAAGTTTCAATACATTCCCTTTCAGTAGTTATGGAGATACAAGCTTACAACACAAAAACTTAACCAAGAATTTCTAAGTCGAAAAAGGGGCATTATTATGTAAAAAAAGCAAATCAGAGTTATGGGACTTGTGCCAATCATCTAAGATAATCACAGAGAACAAGTGTGTGAAGTTTCAATCCATTCCCTTCAGTAGTTATGGAGATACCAGCTTACACGCAAAAACTTAAACCAAGAATTTCTAAGTCGAAAAAGGGGCATTATTATGTAAAAAAAACAAATCAGAGCTATGGGACGTGTGCCAATCATCTTAGATAATCACAGAGAACAAGTGTGTGAAGTTTCAATCCATTCCCTTCAGTAGTTACGGAGATACCAGCTTACACGCAAACACTTAACCAAGAATTTCTAAGTCGAAAAAGGGGCATAATTATGTAAAAAAGCAAATCAGAGTTATGGGACTTGTACCAATCATCTTAGATAATCACAGAGAACAAGTGTGTGAAGTTTCAATCCATTCCCATCAGTAGTTATGGAGATACCAGCTTACACGCAAAAACTTAACCAAGAATTTCTAAGTCGAAAAAGGGCATAATTATGTAAAAAGCAAATCAGAGTTATGGGACTTGTGCCAATCATCTTAGATAATCACAGAGAACAAGTGTGTGAAGTTTCAATCCATTCCCTTCAGTAGTTATGGAGATACCAGCTTACATACAAAAAACTTAACCAAGAATTTCTAAGTCGAAAAAGGGCATAATTATGAAAAAAAGCAAATCAGAGTTATGGGGACTTGTGCCAATCATCTTAGATAATCACAGAGAACAAGTGTGTGAAGTTTCAATCCATTCCCTTCAGTAGTTATGGAGATACCAGCTTACATACAAAAACTTAACCACAGGGACGCCGAAACGACACCAAATGGGTGACTGCATTAGCTCGATTATTCTGCGAATAGTCGAGCTAAAAAACGGTTTGCTATTATCTCCTGATAATATTTTGAATTATTATTGATATTAGATAATGATAGATGCTAGATGTTATAAAAGTGATTGAAAGACTGAAACCAAATTATAAATGCTATGTACCTGATATATATTTATTAATTAGTTTAATCAAACAATGTTGACAGTGACAAAAGAATTATAGAATATTATGGCTCATTGTAAATTACATGACCGAATGTTTCGATTTTCACGTGCATGAACAACTAATTAATTTTCCTTACCTGATAATTAAATGTGTTTAGATTTTTCAATATCAAGGAAATAATTACGAGTAGCTATTTATTGTGAGATATTTATTAAACATTGAAAGTTAACATTAAATGCAACAAGTATCTAGAGTGGTTGGACCAATGCTCGGCAGCATACCAATGCTCGGCATAAAACATATTTTTTTTTAGAATATTTGAAAATGTCTCGAGTTATCTCCGATTTAGGTCACTGGTGCTTTTATTTACATCTTTCACCATTTTATCCTGGTGTGGTTCACTGTTGTGTAAAGTCACGTGACAATGCTAATAGCAGACGAAACAACCGTATGTAATCTGCAACATATAAATTATTAAAATCTTTTAACACTAGAGTTCTGGGGCTGTAAAATTTAAACTAAAAGTTGGGTTACTTGTAAATGTTTTGAACCTAATTTGGTTGTTACAATTTATTCAATATGTTTTTCTTCAAAAGATAAAAAAAGAGATTTTATTCGAAAAACAATCGTGCATCATGTAGTATTGTACGCCGAGCTATGGTACAATTTCACAAACCACTCTTGTTTATCCGGAATATCTATAGCTCCAGCCATGTACATCATTATGTAATTAGCGAATTTTAACACAATGGCTATTTAAAACAATATCATCGGTCTTGAAAAATGGGCATATAACATTGAGGTTTGTTGACGTTGATTTGAATTTACCATATCAAATATAGTATTTTTACGCCGAGCGTTGGTCCACCCCTCTAATCGTTGATGGGTTTTGGTAAAGATTTAATCTTTTACGTAAAATATATAAGAGGTATCGTAAATCTTTCAAGGTAGATCTACTTGGAAATTGGAGTTCCACTTCATGAAAAATGTCATTTATGATTATTAGTAACTATGAAATTTTAATATACCGGTTTCAAACACAGAACTTTTTCTGGGTTCGATTTGGTAAAGGGCCGAAACGTCTCGAAATCCTTGCAAAACCCCTGATGTATCTTTTGGTTGGGGGACCGCGCCGAAAAAGTGGTCACTTTTTTAACAACATTTCTCAAACAAAAACAAGTGTTTGGGGGCCTAAATAAGGCATTTTTTCACCATTTGAGACGACAAAAAGGGGGGGGGGGGGGTTGAAAAAGGCGTTTAAAGGCGTGTATATCGCGTAATGGGTTAAACAGTTAAAGACAAAAATGGGCTATTCCAGAAAATATCCGCACCCCCCTATGGAAGGCACTTTCACCCCAAAATACCCCCCCTGGACACACTTATCATTGACCCCCCTCATCCCACTCATGCCACGGAAAGTACACCCTATTGACAACAATTTCCAACATGCCCCTGGAATGGATACCCCTTGGACCAACCTATGGAAGGCACTTTTTTCCTAAAAAAAATGCCCCCTGGACAAGTGTTTCGAACACACCCCTGGACATGTACCCCTTGGACAACCTATGGAAGGCACTTTTCCTGTAAAAAATACCCCCCTGGACAAATGTTTCGAAACACCCCCCCTGGACATGAACCCCTTGGACAACCTATGGAAGGCACTTTTTCCTAAAAAAATACCCCCTGGACAAGTGTTTCGAAACACCCCCCTGGACATGAACCCCTTGGACAACCTATGGAAGGCACTTTTCCTGAAAAAATACCCCCCTGGACAAGTGTTTCGAATCACACCCCCTGGACATGTACCCCTTGGACAACCTATGGAAGGCACTTTTCCTGTAAAAATACCCCCTGGACAAGTGTTTCGAAACACCCCCCCTGGACATGAACCCCTTGGACAAGCTATGGAAGGCACTTTTCCAGTAAAAATACCCCCCTGGACAAGTGTTTTGAAACACCCCCCTGGACATGAACCCCTTGGACAACCTATGGAAGACACTTTTCCTAAAAAAATACCCCCTGGACAAGTGTTTCAAAAACACCCCCTGGACATGAACCCATTGGACAACCTATGGAAGGCACTTTTCCTAAAAAATACCCACCTGGAAAAGTGTTTCGAAACACCCCCCTGGACATGTACCCCTTGGACAACCTATGGAAGGCACTTTTCCTATAAAAATACCCCCTGACAAGTGTTTCAAAAACACCCCCCCCTGGACATGAACCCCTTGGACAACCTATGGAAGGTACTTTTCCTGTAAAAATAACCCCCCTTGACAAGTGTTTCGAATCACACCCCCTGGACATTTGTACCCCTTGGACAACCTATGGAAGGCACTTTTTCCTGTAAAAAATACCCCCCTGGACAAGTGTTTTGAAACACCCCCCCTGGACATGTACCCCTTGGACAACCTATGGAAGGACTTTTCTAAAAATACCCCTGAAGGCACTTTTCTAAAAAAATTACCCCCCTGGACAAGTGTTTCGAAACACCCCCCTGGACATGAACCCCTTGGACAACCTATGGAAGGCACTTTTCCCTAAAAAAATACCCCCCTGGACAAGTGTTTCGAGAAACACTTCCCTGGACATGAACCCTTGGACAACACCTATGGGAAGGCACTATTTTTTCCTAAAAAATACCCCCCTGGAACAAGTGTTTTGAAACACCCCCCTGGACATGTACCCCTTGGACAACCTATGGAAGGCACTTTTCCTGTAAAAATACCCCCCTGGACAAGTGTTTCGAAAAAAAAACCCCTGGACATGTACCCCTTTTGGACAACCTATGGAAGGCAGTTTTTCCTAAAAAAATACCCCCTGGACAAGTGTTTCAAAACACCCCCTGAGACATAGAATCCCTTGGACAACCTATGGAAGGCAGTTTTCCTAAAAAAATACCCCCTGGACAAGTGTTTCGAAACATCCCCCTGGACATGAATCCCTTGACAACCTATGGAAGGTACTTTTCCTAAAAAAATACCCCCTGGACAAGTGTTTTTGAAACACCCCCTGGACATGTACCCCTTGGACAACCTATAGGGGTGTAGCAATATGGCAAAAACTATATTGCAATATATTGCCATTTTGCCAAGCGTATTGCAATATGTATTGTCGTGTATATGTTTTGATGTAAAGATGGTGTAATATTATATATTATTATAATATGTATATATTCTTAGTAGAAACTTAATAAAATTGTAAGGAATAAATAGAAAGTAAAGTGTCACACATTTTGATAGACAAAACTGGTCGCGCATGACCTTTTACATCTGGGCTGCTTATGTAAATTATGCGGCCGTTTATTGACTTTTAAGTTGTACTAGTTGTCAGATACTTTCATCTTATGTCGGCACAAATAAAAATTTGCCAATTAAAGATTTTATGCGAAATTTGTACGAATTAGAAGGCAATTAATTGAAAATTATGATTTTTATAAAAATAACCGCTTTTCCAAAAATCGTACCTTGGACAACCTATTGAAGGCACTTTTCCTAATGCTTCACTGGATAAGCATTTTCCAACATTTTCATCCCACCCCCTTAGGGCATTTCAAGCACCTGACTGAACCTGCATCCCTTACACAATATATGGATGTTATTTTCCTGAAAAAGAACCCCCTGGACAAGCATAATGTACCTGCACGCCCTTGATAGGTACTCCTTGGACAACCTCTGAAAGGCACTTTTCTAAAAAAAATTCACCCCCCCCCCCCCCCGACAAGCATTTAAACCCCCCTCCCCCTGGACAGGTACACCTCAGACAACCATTGGAAAGAACTTTCCTGAAAAATACTCCATGGACAAGCTAGGAAAGCTCTTTTCCAGAAAAATACCCAACTGATCAAACATTTACCTTCCATCCCCCCTAAACATTTGCAATGCATTCTTTTTGAAAAATACTCCCCCAAAACAAATATATTCATATAAATTTACTCCAAAAAAAATCAACAGGAAGTTAAAACAGACATATTTTATATTTCCACATAACTTATTTTGTCAATCAAATACAAACCTTTGTTTTAAAAGAACGTGGTCGATATCTACGTCACTGCCTTTACTTGAAACCATTTCATTCTGTTTTTCAATAGAATTTTTCTCATTTTCAGTATTTTCAGCATTTTTTCATCGTAACATAAGAGTAATGTCCCTTGATCAAGGACTTTCTTATGCCTGCAGGACAGGGCGGACCGTGAGACAGGGCGGACCGTACCAGGGCGTATCGTGACTCGAGACTAGGTTCATTTCTCTATTTATAGTGAAATTTTGTGGTACTAAATCATAACTTTTTGTATTGTAACTGCATGTTGCTAATAAGCTTTTTTTCGACAAAATACCGTTAATTAAGAAAAAAACAAAAAATTACAAAACACAATTTTTCTTCAAAAAATTGTGGGGAAAATTTTTAAACAGGGAAAAACGCTTTTTTGGGAAATTTTCGTTTTTTTCATCTTTTTTTTTTTTTTTTTTTTTTTTTTTTTTTTTCTTTTTTTAACATTTTCTTTTAAATATTTCAATGATACGATAAAAAAAAGAAAAATATAAAAAAATTTAAAATTCAGTGAAATTTGAATTTAAATTTTGCTAAATGGAATGACTAACTTTAATTGGGGATATTTTGGGATTCTTTATAAATAATTAAATTTCATGTAAATATGAAACTTTAATTTTTTACATTTTTGGGGTTTATAGAAATTATCATGATTAAAAACGGGTAATTTCACTTTTTGAAACATGAAATTATAATTTGATAATTTCATGTTTTGAATTTTTACCCATAGGGTTTTTTCATGAAATACAACGTTCACAGAAAGGGAAACCAATTTAAATAACGGATAAATGAGATTTAATTATTATTGGGGCCCCTTTTTCATTATATAAGTAAAATTTCTTTTAAACTTTTCTTGCATATAATAAAAGAAAATTTTTTATTAATGTAAATCGAAAAAATTTTTTTCCCCTGTAAACCCCAAAAAGTTCATATTCCTCGTGCGCGCACTCGTGAAAATATTTGGTGCTCAGGTGAAAATATATTGATTTAAGAAAAACAAATATTTATATACTAAACCAAAAAAGGAAACTTTCGAAATACATTCCATGTCAAGGGTAAATAATGTAACCCGTTTATTACATCTTTTGGTGTTTATTAGAATAATCAAAATATAAAAGGGGAAATTTTCATTTTTAAAACGTAAAATTTACCACTTTGAAAATGTTGTTTTAAACCCCTACTTTTTTTCGGGAAAATAGCAGGGGCACAGTACTGGGTACCAACTTAATGATGACTCGAAATGAGCACGTTGCATATTTTTGGGGCGGTTTTTCTTTAAATTAGATTTTTTGTCTTTTTAAAAAAACGCTTTTTTCATTAAAAAAGAAAAATTGTTTTTTTTAGTGAAGATTGAAAAAATTTCACTTTGAACACCAAAAATTCTATTTTCCCCGGGCGACTCGTAAAATATCCTTTGGTGCCACTGGGTGAAATATAATCGATTTTTTTTACACTAAAACTAAACAATATCCCCAAATATATAGTTAGGAAAGTTTTTTTTGAAAAAGGTCAGAACCCGTAAAAACCCCGAAATGTTTTTTCAACTAAAAAGAGTTTCAAAAGGATTAAAAAAACTGTACAAACATATCACATTCAAATTTGGAAAAGTTCTTTTTTTTTATATTTAGAGTAGTTAAAAAAAAAAATTTCTAAAAATTTTTTTAACTGCGCACTTAGCAAGTAAAAATTCCCAAATTTAAGGGGATACAAAAATGTTATTTTTTATAAGCGCAACCCTGAAAAAATTGAAAAAACTTTATAAACAATTAACACATAAAAACATATGTTTTTGTAAAATACAGAAAAAAACAATAAACGATAAAATCAATTTAAAAATTATTTGCAATTCAACACAAAAACAAAAAAGAATGACATTTTTTAAAAAACAAAACATTTATTAAAAAAAAATAAGAAGACACTGAAAAAAAAAACACTGAAAAAATATTAAAAAATAAACTCATAAAGAATTTTTTAAAACTTACGTTTATTTTTTTTAATGTATTGAAGAAATAAATAAAAGAAAAAAAAAATAATTACTTTATCCACATAAAATATTTTTTTAAATCACGTCCCCCTCGTCTCAAAGGAGGGGAAAAATAGGTGAGGAGTCCGGTGCGAGGTCCCCCTTTGTAATTTCTTTTTTTTTTGTAGTCAAAGTTTTTGTTAAACCCAGATAACAATCGCTGTCGTTATTAGATCAGCTGTCAAACAGTAAGCATTCGGGGGACGAAGTTTTAAACAAAACGCATAAAGCACAAAAGGATTTTCCGGGGGAACCACAGGTATTTGTTTTATTATGTGCTCATTATTTAAAAAAAAATTTAAATAGAAAAAAATTTAGCGAAATTGGGTTTCAGTTCGATTTTTTCAAAAATTTGATTTCAGTCAATTTTTTTTTTAAATTATTCTTATTTAAACAATAACAAGCTTTTAAGGAAAAATATTAAACATATTTTTGTATCTGCTTTTTTCAAAAAAAAAACCTATATAACTGTTTCTATAACTCTTTTAAGTTTTGAAAAAACAAACGTTGTGTAATTTGATTCCCGGGTTAAAAAAGTGAAACAAGGGAAAAAGGGCCCCCCCCAACACTTCAGCTAAATTTTGAAGACACTTTACTCCTAAGACACCCAAACCCCAAAATTTATTCAAAAACACTTACCCCTCATCCTAGTCCTATAAATTAGTGTTTTGAGATATTTTTTTTGGAAAACGTCATATCGAAATTCCCAAAAAACCCATAGCATTTCTCCCAAAATCAGGGGGAAAAAAAAACATTGAAAACAGGTTATTACAAATTTTGACCTTTTTTATAAAAAACAAAAAAAAAATTTTGTAAAATAATTAAACTTCACATCAAAAATCATGATAATCCTCTCAGTATTTAATTTTTTTTACAGCCGATAAACAAAAGGGGGCCTAAAATCCGAAATCTGATTGGCTAATTCAAATGCAAGCGTTTAATGAATAGAAAAAGGGAAATTTTTTCGAAAAAGCCCGCCCCCAGGAATTTGAATATATTTTTCCCTTCGAAAACTTGGAATCAATCTGAAAACCCTTTCTTAACCCTAGGCGAAGAAAATAGATTAATTTTTTATTTTATTTTAAATTTATAAATACATTGTTTAAATTTTTTTGTATAATTTAGCAGAAATTTAAAGAAAAGAAATAACTTTTGAATAAAGCTTAAAAAGGAAGACAATAGACTTTTTAATTTTTTATGACAGCTTTTTACAATAACTATTTAACCAGGGTTTTACCGACATAAAAAATAAAAGCCCGTAAAAATTTAAAATATTGGACTACCCTCCCTTTTTTTTAACTACTAAAAATTTTTTAAAATTTTTAAACAATAGAAATAAACCGAAATGAAAAGTAGTTTTCATTGGGATTTCGTTAATTTTTTTAAAAAGGGCAGCTTGGGGGTTTTTTCTTACCAAATGTTTTAATTTTTCATGGTGGGCCTGACGTTATTTTACTTCTCCAGGATCATGATCGATGTAGTTTTTTTATTCATTTTAGATTTAAAAACCCCCCTTAATTTTGGGGAAAAATAAAAAAGATGTATTTTATCTTAAAAAAAAAAGAGTATAAGTTTTTACATTCAAATATTCCAAACATTTCAATTTTAAAAAAAAGAAAAAAGAGAGAGAATTTTTGAAGTTTTTGAATTTCTGTTGACCTAGCAACCCGCACATGTTTTTTTATGTTGTTCCTTTTTAATTTTATTCAACAACCCGATCAAATAAAAAAGTTTTTTCTATAAATACTGAGAAAAAACAATGGCTTTTTTTCTTTACTATAAAAGTAATGGAGAGCTTCCTACCGCCCCCATCCGCCCCAGATTTCAGATTAAAGTTTTGGTGCAGTAAAAATTTTTTAAAATTGTATTCCTTTAAGGGATAACTTAAATTCAAATATATTTCCCTTTTCATCAACCATACTTATTGACAATTATAAATCTAGACCAATATTTTCAGATTTATTCCCCTTTAACTTTTGAATTTTTAAAAAGACATTTTTTGTTTTTTAAGGTAACCCCTCCAAAAAATTAATTGTCCCATCTTTTTGACAAGGTTATAACTCAGCACCCAAAATTTTTAGATTTTTTTCTCCCCTTGAAGAGAATTTTTTTAAAAAAATATTTTTCTGTTACTTCTTTATTTCTTTAAGGTATAACCCATTTTCAAAAATATGTACCTTTTCATCCCCCTCTTATTAAAGGTTCATAAATTACACCAAATTTCAATTTAAATTCCCCTTGAACAGAACCCAAAAAAAAAC